CAATATGATTCATGGGGTCACGAAGAGTCGGACATGACTTAACGACTGAACAACAACAAAGTTATCTTGGTCAGGATCAATTGCAACCATTAAAATGAATGTATTACCCAAGATAAACAATCTATTTCAAATGGCATCAATTAGAATTTCTGAGAGAACCCTACAAGAATGGCAAGAAACTGTCTGTAAATTCATACGGAGTAGGAAAAGACCTAAACAAACAAATTCTACAAGAATCTAAAGAAATGTCAATATCAAGTAATTTAGCTTGAGACTGAAGCATTTATTACATAACAAATACCTCTTCCTTTATCTCCTCATATTAAAATATTTAATTTTGAATGAAAAAGCCAATAATCATAATGCTGATTACATTAATATTCTAAACAATAACTAATATTGATAGAATATCCACTTTTTCTTTCCTCTTCTCCATATTCAATATAATAATACCTTTAACACCATCAAACATCATCTGCCTATCCCAGGTCCTTGGAAAGGACTTGGTAGGTAGATAAAAATGCCAAATCCAGTCTAAATATCTGGCTGACTGTGCAACCAACAATAATAATAAACTTGTGGTTCCAAATTAAGGTCAGATTTTCTTGTCTGGCTGTTGTGAATAAAAAACAACCACATAAAGAAAAATTGCACAGCAAATGTCATGTCTGGTTCCAATTTCAGGTAAACAGAGAGGTTTCCTGTGATTGTTATTCAATTTTATTAAAGGTCATTAATGATAGGTGCCTAAGTGCCTTCACATAACTAAAGGGGGGAACAACCTCTTGGACTGGACGTAGAGCAGGGGAGTTGAGTGCAGCTGCAAGCATGGCTGCCTGGAGAACCAGCCATGGAAGAAAGCCAGAGCCAACAGCAGGATCAGAAGCAGGACCTTGGCCAAGGCCCACAGCAGCCTCCAGGCAGCCTGGAGAGTTGGACGTGGGAAGGATCTGCACAAAAGAGGTACAGAATAACATATAAGCAGTGGCACAAAAACAGGATCAAATATAGTTGATGGTTCCTGGTGAAACAATGAAAAGGTAGATTTTCTTTTTTACAAGTCACTGATTCAATAGGGGACAGTGAAGGACCTGTCTCTTTTTTTAACCAGGTGGAATTGAGAAGAGCCATCACTTTCCTCTTCTAAATTATAGCCCAAGGATAGAAAAAATGGTAAACCAGTGGTCTTGTCTTTTTATTTCTTTTTAATCAGTTCAGGAGGGATTTAAAAACGCGGGGGGGGGTAAGAGAATCCACCAATGAGAATAAACAAGAGCCGGAACAACAGGCCACAACCATAGCCAAAGCAGTGGGAGGGGCTGAAATCCAGAATGGGATTTCTTAAACCAACTTTATTTCCATCTGGTTTATTCATGGGAGATAAGCAGCTTAAAGCTACAGTACAGAAAATACCTAATATAGTATTGGGGGCGGGGGGAGGTTTAAATTAAGCAAGCTTTGCACATCATGCCATTCAGTTTTGGGTCTTCAACTGACCTGGTTAAGCATGTGTGAATACAGCCAATGCCCTTTCCTTCTCTTCGCTCCCCCCACCTCCAGCTCTTCTGCTGTGCGTCTGCCTATCCTATAGTATCTGAATATCATCTCGCTGGTAGGCTATTGGTCACTTACATGGATGGGAGGTGCTCTTTGGAATTAGTTCTGTATAGTTCCAGACATGGCAGTTTTTTCTGAGAGAATAGGAAAAGTAAGATGTGAGATACAAGAGTCAAACAGAAAAAAATGTGGCAAAGATGAGGGCCCCTCCAAAGGTACGATGTGCAGCTGTCTTGGGCTGGCTCTGCACCCGTGTGATCAAATGCAACTGCCTGTCTTGTGGACAAGTACTAACTTCCAGCTCTGCTCCAGTGTACTTAAAATGATTGCAAAGCTTGTTTGTAGTGTGCGTGTCAGAGCTTCAGGGTTCCCACTGGTGCAGGCTCTTGCCTTATCCCATTGGCTCTTCCCTCTTGAAATCATGGCACCATGACCCTGTGCCACCATTTTTTAAAAAACAAGCAGAACAGCAGTGTTACAACCCCTCTCACAGTGACTGGCCAGAGGGACAGAAATACCAAAGGATCTCAAGGCAGGGGGCCAATTGGAGAGAGCACTGGCCAACTCATCCAGAGTTTTGTGTTTGGAAGAGGGTGGCACTTAAGGACTTCATACCATCTGGTCACACACTTGTTCCTCCCAAAGAAAGCCCCTTGCTGTGGTCTCCATTTCTCCAGATAGTGCATCTCTCTGGAAACTAAAATAGAACACAGTAGTAAACAGGGGGACTATCTTTTCCGCGCACATAACTGAAGCCTAGCAGAACAGGAGAGAATGCAACTTTGAGCAGAATATCTTGTCACCTGCAACTCTGTCAGTACTTTCTCCCTAATTTTGCATGACCCAGAAGGAAAATGTGACCTTGCCTCCTGAGTCTTTTAAGCTGCAGATTAATCTGAGCTTGATGTGTCTTCAAAAAAACCATCTCTTTCTCTCTTATTCACACACATACACATGATGTTTCTTGCAGATAAATGTCATTCCACTGCCAGATGTAGCAAACTCCAATACTAATTCCAATACAGGACATTTTCAATGAGAACATACGTTAAATCTAAAACACTTATGGGGATGTCTGTCTGTTTTTATTTATGTATTTCTAGCCTATGTTCCCAAGGCCCATTCATTCAGATACTCTCAAACGCATATTATTGCTATTCCTGCTTTACAGATGAGGAGCTGAGTCCAAGAAATTGTGACTGTACCGTTTTTGGCCAAGATTTGGCCTAAGTCTCTGTCAGCAAACTAGCTGATCACCATAACCAACTAAGAGAATTGATTAGGTCATCCTTACAGCGCTATTTCCTGTTGAGCTTCCACCACATTGTCTTCCAAGAAGGTGATGCTTCGGTGCAGCTCCTTCATTGATTCAGAAAGAAAACAACATTGCTTTAGGCTTTCATTTTTTTAATCTTTAATTTTCCATTATCCTTACCCTAGTTCAACTAAGCTTCAAACTCTCCTGGAAGCCACAAACTTGAGACGCCAGTGGGTGGGAAGAGAGATTAATTTGAAGATGCCTAATCCTTAATAGTTTACATTGGGTGGCATTATATGCCATCTAATTCTAACTGAAGACCATCTAAGACTGAAGTCAAAAATAGAAGAGGATTTTTCTAAGAATTTGGCAGACACACTTTTCATCATAATTATTGAACTTGTATCTACAGTTTCAGTTTTAGATTGATGTGGCAGGTAATTAGCAGTCTAGGCCTGAAGAGCAAAACTACATGTTGCATATTCATGTTTTTTATAGTTATGCTGAACCTGGTTATTTTGAAGGTAAAGCAACCATGAAATCTCAATCTGAGGAAAGCTCCTTATGGAGATCACCTTTATTTGCCCTAAAGATGTTTTTTGCAGAAAGTTTGTTGAAAGATATAAATTGCCTTAGGGAAAAAAGTAAGTGATTTGGGATAGGAAAGTAAGGGGAGTCCTAATGGCAGTACCTTTTTTTTTTGCAAACTTTGTCCAACTTAATTCTCTTCGTGCAATCCCTTGGCTCATTCATGGATTTTTACAAGGAGCCCAGACGATGATGCTTTCCATTTGTAACTTTCCCATATTTTCCAGTTACTTCCATTTCTTCCCATTCCCACAAATAATTAAAAAGGGAAAGGTGGAATAGCTGCAGAATGCCTTCTGTCAAATTAAAAAAAAAACATCTCTAACTGGATTTAGTCCCATGCATCATGCCAGATAGTCTGAATCTACTGACTGCATAATTTTAGCAGTCCACCAGCCGTAGATGAGTAGTCACTGCATTTGGGTCAGATATATATCATTTTTCTTAGTTCGTCTCAAGGAAAATGTGTTCCCTTTGTTTGCAGTACAAGCTGCGGTATACCATGTAATTAACCTAATTCCTAATTTCCCCAAGCAATGTTTCAATATTTTAAACACTGGTTCTGTTTTAAAAGAGAGGGAAAGGAAAGGAAGAACATTGATTTACTTAATTAAACAGAAGTTTTCTTGTTGCTTTAAAAAAGGCAAACAGCCTTCTGAACTACTGTTTGAATAGCCAGTTGTACCAATCCATCTAAATGAACTGCAAGAGTAGATCTGCAGTGGAGATGCCTCGTTTGTTTCAGTGCAGATTCCCATTTCACTCTGTGATTCCCTTTGATCCTGCATAGATTCTGTCCGCTTGGTATATGTGACATCTCTGTTTCAAGCCACAGAGTTTGGGCCTAAGGTGAGTCATACCTGGCTCTTCAGAGACAGCTCTTGGATTACTGCGCTCAGTTTCTCAATGTGCTGCTGTTTCTGAAATGCCAAAAACCAGAAAACTTTTACTCTAGTTCCATGCAGAAAACAAAAGAGATGTCAACCTCACACACTTGGAGGGTCTGAACTTGGAGGTGCTTCCATGCTAAAAACTCATAGCATTACTATATAATTTCTCTTCTAGAAGCTACAGGGAGAATTGCAATTGCTTTGCACACAGGCTTGTTGTACTGTACTTCTTTAACGTTGATATATTTTTTAAAAATACTAAAATACTTATCTAGCCACTAACCAGCTTGCTAAAATGGAAGTGACTGAAAAGTGTAGGTTTTGAAATCATATGAACATATTTATGTTTTATAATTCTTTCATTTAAGTGGGCGATAGGGCAATAGAGAATAAGTCCACTCCCTCTTGTCTGACAACCCTTCAGATACTTGAAGATTGACAATGATATTTCAATGACACAATCACTCTGTCTCATTCACAGAACTGGGCGAAACTGTAGGAAGACCTGTATAGTGAGATGGGCGGCATATATAAACCAGATAGATAGATAGATAGATAGATAGATAGATAGATAGATAGATAGATAGATAGATAATTTTCATCTTTTCCACCAATTCTTCCACCTTGTTTCTCACCAAATAAAACTATTTTAAAAATCCCCTAAGATTTTTGACTGAGGAACTGTCAGCTCTCCATCCAGAAGGACCTAGTTGACTTGTCAAGGACAGCACATTCTACATCAAACACACCCCTCCATAAAAGAGCAGCACTAGGGACATTCCTCTCTATCTAGGCTACATTCTTCTGTCCTAAAACATCAGATTTCTCCATTAAGAGAAAAGACAAAAGTAAGAGGATGACAATGGTACAGGACCTTCCATGAAAGGGAAGCGAAGAGCTGTGGCAATTCCATAATAAGTCCTAATCTGCAAGCAATTCACACACAGGACTTTTCAGCAAGCCAGCTAGTGAAAAATGTGGCTTACATTTGAAGTGCACCCTGTTGCAGAAGCAGCTGAAGGTGGCAGATTGCAGGATAAGACTAAAAAGTTAACTGAAACTCTGGCTGCCTTCTGAGAGTCGATCAAGGTGGTAAATTGTAAAAAGACACCCTACCTACCCACCCACCCCCCAAAAAAGAACTAAGCTTTTATTGCAGCCCTACCTTTTCATACTTCTTCCTTCCTACTCCAATGTATCCTATTCTCCCATCTTCCTCATGGCCAAGTTCATGTGTATTCAACCTATCCTTGAATCAACAGCAAACATTGTCGGCATGACTGTGGTGCCCCAGCAGCCAAGCCCTAGTCAGCCTCGGTGACAAGGCTGGCAACTGGTGTTGGCCCTACAGTTTTCATATGGGACAATTTAAGGGCAGTGACTGGGGAATTCTGGCTGTGTTTTTCCTCCCATCCAGCATCACCTGCCAGCAGGTGCCCTTAACATGTAGTTTGGTGTGGTGGGCTTGGCCTTGGACAACTGTGGGTAGGTGCCTGGGACAAGGTTTTAGCCAGAGTGATAAGTTGCCAGTGCACATGTTTTCTGTATTGGGCTATTTCTGGACACCAGTCAAATGCACTTCTGGAAGAGCACTAAACCCATGTCCAAAAAGCAGCCCAGCTGAAAGATCAGTGGAGGGGCACAGATTGAAGCATGATAGAGTCCTCCTAGGAGCTCTCTCCCACTTTAACCTGCACTCCTCCGCTGTATCTATGACTTGCCAGTCGAGCACAGGGTGAAGCAGGAAGGAACCATTAAGGAATGCAGCAAGGGAATATCAGTGTTTGCAGCAAGTGGCTGGAAGCTGTAGATTCAGCCCATGCTCCTAGGCTGCTCCTCTGACCTGTTGTTCTGGCCAAACGGGGAGACAGGTAGAACTCTTCCATCCCAGCTCTGGCAGCAAGTAACCATGGCAGGCAGCATCTAGAACAGTGTTAAGGGCACGCTGGCTAGGGAATTCTGGGAGTTGAAGCCCACAAAGCTTGAGGTGTGTATCAAGGTTGAGAAGCGCTGATCTAGAAGTACAGTATGCCATGGAGTATCCAGAATGGCACTTCCCCTTCCCCAAAGGAGAGAAAGAAGGAAAAGGTAGAAAGAATGGCTACACAAAATACCTTAATGGCACAAGCAATGGAAAACTAGTAGTGCGCTTATTTGAGTCAGAAGCAGTAACAACTAGCAGACAGTCTCAGCTCTCTTTCCCAGTTTAAATGAACTGGAATGCCAGTCCTTTTTTTACATAGACAGGTCTAGTGCTCTTTCAAAAGGTCGCTAAACCCATGCTTGAAAACAGGGATACTGTAGTGCTTTTCCAGAAGAACACTAAATTTGTCTATCTTGCCTGCATATCGCCTATCTAGTGCTTTCCAAAATGCTGATCAGGCATGATGTGGACAGATGCCTCTTTGTCCAGTCTTTTCTGGGTTTGAAGGAGAGTGCCTAGTGAATAGCGAACAGAGGAAAGATGCATATTGTTTCTTTCATAATTCTAGAACTCAGAATTATCCAGTGAGCCTGAATGTTGAAGATGGATAGGAACTCAGAAGATGTAGTGATAGTTACAAACTTGGACTGGTTTGAATGAACTTGAGACAACTTCACAGGGGCTGGGGCTGGTCCTGGCAACTAGTTATGATGGCTGCATAGTGCACCCATATGGGATGCAGTAAGCCACCCAGTGCCTGTATGGGGAAAAGCAGTGGAACAGGCTATTTTAGTAATATTTGTGGACTTCCCCAAAGCATCTGGCTGAGCTTTGTGAGAAATTAAGATTATGCATTATCAGGGTCTTTGTCTCTAATTCTTATATTCAGTTTTTCCATCACACTTTTATTATGAATAAATGGACTTTTCAGATCTCTCCAGTTAAACTGTAACTGCAAGGATCCAGGAACTAGGAGCTAAAGCACTATTGAACAATAACCCTCCCAGCTGAATTACATAGGTTGTGAACTTTGGCAAAGGTGACTGTTATACAATGGAGACCCAACAGAAAATCAGTCCCTGCCTTGACTCACATTTTTCAGCCAAAGACCCAAGGGTGCTTTAGTTTGCCATCAGAAACAAAAGACCTTAATTGAGTTTACCTGCCTGATCCTGTCATTCTTTGTCTTCCACTTGGCTTCCCATTCAGACAAGTGCCTCTGTGTTGGTGAAAAACAAAAAACAAAAACAGACTATAGTTGCAGGAACTTCCAGCCTTCAGATGCAAAGATCTGAGCTGCCCCCTAATCCTGAGCTTCCTAGATTATTTTTATCCCAAAGCTGGGGCACAGTTGTGGAATTTTAGTTTCAATAGTTCTCTTTTGCCTTCCACAAGTGAGTAAGCTGATGACAAGCTATATTCTAGGAACAGCAAGAATGCATTCAAATTTTTCACAAATGAAAACTTGGACAGATTTTTTTCCCTAGTAGCTCTAATTGCCCTACTAAATACTGCAGCGTGCAAAGCAAATGTGCTCCCTTTCAACAACACACGTTAGGCCATAATGTATTCTGCCTCAGTGCTTCACCTACTTCACAAAGCACCAAGGTGGGGCATCTCCTCCTTGAATGGCAGATCAGCAGAAATGCACAGGGACTACATTCTTGGAGGGCAGCAAAGCAGGGCAGCTTCTCCAGTGCTCAGAAGCAAGGGCTATTCCACTTTGCAGTTTTGCTTCAAAGCTTCACCAAAACTTCACATACTCCTAGTATGCACATATTCTATTATTATACATTGGGGAACAGTTTTCTTAGCTTGCTCCAGTTGCTGTATTCTGTAAAACTCTACCCTACATAGACTGAAAACTAAAACAAATGAGTTATTCTGTGGAAGATGTCATAGAAACTTAAAGGGCAGAAGGCAACCTACTATGGGCACAACATCCCTGCTCAGAGGACTCTTCCATGCTCAAGAAAGTTCATTCTTTTCTCCCCTCCCATGAGGAAACATACAGAGATCTGTCATATCTCCATTCAGCTTTTCCCACTTTCTGGAAAAGAACAGAGGAGGAATGAGCAGACCTCCCATTTCCCAAGCTGTTCACTACCCAGCAGCTACAGCATCTACTTGTAGGGAATGGGACAGGAACAGAGCACTGTTAATTTAAAAACCTACCGTATATGAAAATCCTCTTGCCATAAGTCTTACCAACTCATAATGATCTGGCAGCTGTAATATGTGGCATGATAAATGAATAGAGAAGCGTATAACTCCTCCTGCCTGCCAAACCTATGGTGGCTTTGGATCCTGACATGAAAAAGATTATGTGCTTGACAATGTGTTAATGTGCATTACAAAGTGGATCTTCTCTTCTGAAAGAGAAGTTCTGAGACATGACATGAGGATGAAATCAGAACAACTGTATCTCTGATTAAATGTGATGTGAAAAATGACCTTTTTATTGGTTGCAAATTTTTTATCTAAAAACTGAGATCAGGAAACAAAATAAGAATTATGATTTACCAGGGACAGCTACCCAAAAAATCAGAACTGCATTTATATATATAAAATAAATAAGTACACAAGATAAATCAATATTTACAATACCTATTACTCTACTGCCAAATTCTGGGATCATTTCTACATTAATTGTATTGGTTTCCTATCTAATAGGCCCTTATAACAAATAGATAAGATATCTAAAAGCTACCTTCAGTTCACTGCCTTCTGATCTCAGCTCCTTTAGAGTGTCTTTGTTGGACTTCTCCTCCAACTGTTGCTTGAAGACCTGCATGTAATGATTACAAAAAGAATCCAAAGCTTTCACAGCTGGGAAGAAGCCATTGTCATTATCTGGGCTCCCAGAGGCAATGGCTGGTTACTATTGTAGGAAGCAGGATACTGGCTAAAGTAATTCTTATTTGAACTTGCATACATTTCCACATCAGCCTGCTCTCTCCAAAGAGAGATGGGGCAAATGCAGATTCCCCCTTGTCTTTTGCATCTGCTGAGGCTTCCACCTTTTGAAGAATTAGCAAATGAACTATCTGGTATCAAAGAGAGTTTCTGTTGTGTTCACATGCCTGTACCCCACCCCCCATTTGTTTTAGAAAAGATCCCTATGAAGCAGAGATGGCCAGCCTGTCTCCAAGTGGTGAACTTAACACAGTTTGGGAGAATGAGAGCTGCCATACTTCTGAAATGTCAGTAGATAAAGATTCTGGATCCTACATAAGATAGGAAATTTAACCATATCTTTATAAATCTACCCATTATAGCTGATCATTTAGTCAGACTATACTTCTGCATTAACTTCTGATAGTACAAATTTTCAAATTCATTTGAAGTATCCTTGAAGCCAGAATGGATTTATAGTGCCATACAATTCCTATATGTGCAATTGCCATGAATTATATAATCACATTCTTGACCTGTGAAGAACTATGAAATAATGCTACTAGATCGACATGTGGTTTCCAAAGATCTTTGACCATCTAAGTACAGTTCCAATGCATATTTAACACTGAGTTGGTGTTCTTTTATTCACATAATGAGACTTGCTCCATGCTGGAAATTGCCATCCCAAGTAAACATTGCCCCAAACTCATGAGGATTTGCATGGCTGACTTGTTGACCTCACCACTCTTACCAGGCTATAGCTGGTGTTTTGCATTGTGAAATAGCGTTTTCTAAGGTTCTACCCTTCCCTGATCCCACAAAAAGGGAGCAGCCATCCCTCCATTTATTTTTCCTGGCTTCCCACGCCTATCCCTGCTTTTCACACCATTTCTACATATACTATCACAGCTAGGTGGCAGCAACTAGCTAAATTTAGTGGATCTTCAAATGCCAGCAAGGGAGAAATCTAGTTAGTAATTGGATGGGAGACTAACAGGAAATCCCAGAGTTGGGAAATTGGGGGGGGGGGAATGTTTTTGAAGAAGGTAATAACAAACTACTTCCATGAGGTTGCTAAGAAAACTACATGGCTTCATCCCATGGAGTCATAGGAGTCAAGTGGCAGCTGCATTGCCCAATGTGCATTTCAGGTTGCAAGTTAAGTGCGGCATATTCAAATGTTGGCTAATCAAAATTGGCGTGCCTATAATGCCAATCGATTTTATCTGATACTCCAGTGTTATTTTGCAAGTTTATGTTTTATGATTTATTGTACCTGCAGCATGAACTGGTAACCTCAAGCCAAAGTTTAATCACTTTATTCTGTAGCCACTTGAAGTCTAGAATCAGGGCAGAAACTTGACTGATCCTGTTCAACTCTGCCATATCTCAAGGACTCACCTTTTTTTCCAGGTCTTTAACTGTCTCAGCCATTCTCTGATTTTCCTTTTCCTGCAATTTAGCAAAGAAATGGAACAATCTAAGCCCTGCTACCCAGATAATGTTTTGTTGCTGAGTAAGTTTTTGGTGTTGTACCTTCTTTCTTATCAGCACCATTAACACTTAGAAATTATATAGCCCTTTAGAATATCCAACCTGCTTCATGCAATTTGTGTACAGTAAAATCAGTATTGTTATTCCTATCCTGAAGATGTGGGGACTGCAGCTGAGTTTGCCATTAATGAGTTCAAGCAAGACTTACTACCATTTTCCTGATATGAATCTCCTTAGTCTGCAACTCTTAAAAAGAGTTCAGCTTTTAAAAGAATCAAATCTCTGTTGCATTTGTCACAGCAGGCATATCACAGGCAGGTTTTGGCCCATAAAAAAGGAGTGTAGAAACTATTGTCCAAAACATTTAGGGAGCACCAAGTTGCCTATCTCTAAAGATGCTGTTTTTATCTCTTCAAAATATTACATATTAGTTAAAATAATGAGAAGCCACCTACTGGCATGGATACTTCTCTAGATCATGATCATCAATTTACTCCAGTGCATTAAAAAAAACAACAACCTTGCTTTAGAATACACAAATGTGAAGGAGTAGGTATATCATTGGTACCAGGCATGAAGACTAAAAGAGAATATTGAAATAGCAATTACAAAAATTACAAAAAACCCTGACTGGTTCCTGTCAGTCTACCAAACCAGTCTAACACCATCTTCTTTCTCTCAGAGCACAAATTGGCCAAGGTTCCTAGAAGACCATGTCACATAACCAATCCTCTTATCTCAAGCCTGAGGAGGGGAAAACACAGCAGGATAAAGAAGGAAGGATGGGCGGCTGAGGACCATGAGTAGAGAATGCAGAGCTCTTAAATTCATCCCCAGAGGGTCTCACCTGCTTGTGGATGTGCAGCTGGCGTTGACGGCTTCGGTTCTGACACTCCTGCAGAATGTCTTGGGTTTCCTCCAGCTCCTCTTGTAATGCTCGAGTTTTTTTCTCCAGAGGTTTAAGACTGCAGAGGACAAAAGGGAACAGTATCCCCACCACCTCTTATGCCAAGGATCTAATCCCAGAAGCACCTTGCTCAGAAGCATCCTGGCCTTCTTGCCTCAAATTCTGTCCCTTCCACTTATACTTGCCAACAGACTGAGCTGAAGCATTCTCCTTGCCTACTTCCTATCAGCTAACCCTTGCAAACCCTTGCAGTATTTTATTTTTTTAAATTAAACCACCATGAAGAAAAATGTCTACAAAAAATGGCTAAAAATCTAGCCATCAGCAAAGGGTTCCTGTTTGTTGAATAATAGAAAACAGCAGACTGAATCATGCATAAATAATTTTCATGGGTGCCCATTTTCTCTCCAGCCTTTTGAGGGATCAGCACCTGCAGGAAAGACTTGGGAGATTCCCCATGACAGCCTCTCACCTCTTGGTCTGTAGCAAGGAGCAGAGTTGGGCATGATGCCCTAATAGTGCCTCATATTGCTTCTGACAGATTTCACCATGGGCAAGTTCTTCATGGATCCATTCCTGCAGCCAAGCGTTCTCATCTTCAAAGTTCCTAAGTTTTCAGGGGAGAAACGTGATGAGGAGCGAACGCGTGGCATTCTGGTAAATCCAAGAGGTTGCAGAAGTGATATTCCTGGTCCTTTCCTGTCTCTAGACCAGTGTTTCTCAACCTTGGCAACTTCAAGATGTCTGGACTCAACTCCCAGAATTCCCCAGCCAGCATGCTGACTGGGGAATTCTGGGAGTTGAAGTTCACACATCTTGAAGTTGCTATGGTTGGGGAACACTGATCTAAATCATTGAGCCATAGATGCAGGCATGATATTGGGGTGGTGATGGAGCAGATAAATGGTTTTAGCACTATTTCCTCCTTAGGCTGAGGTATATCTCCACTAACTTGCTTCCCAAGTGGCTTGTTCAGGCTGTACTTCCTAAAAGCTGAACTTGTTTCTTCCTTTCATATATTAAGATGCTTCTGCTCATACTCATTTAAAATTATCACCAATCTTTTCTGTTGGCTAAAAATTCTAGGTTCTGTCTTTATCTATGCGAGAATTTGTATGTCTATAAGTTGTTAAATGCATCCTGTCTGCTCATTCAGGGAAACAGCTGATTATAATTAAAACTGTTTGTCCATGCTTACTCAGATTGAAGCCAGCATCTTTTGTCCATGTGTATTTAGCATTTTCTTTACATAAACAGCAGAATTCAAGGGGGGGTGGGGCAGAACTAAATTAAAATTGTGCCATATAGAAGGGAATAATGTGAATCAAGCCTCCCTCCCCATGCATCTGATATGATTTGTAGTGGGAGAAAAGCTTCTTTGGTTAAACAGGGACTGTGTGGGAACAAAGAGATTTTGTTTTATTACATTTATATTCTGCCTTTTTTCCAGGAGTTCTGGGCAGTATATATGGGGCTTCTCTCATTTTGTCTTCAGTAAAGTAACATGCGTTGAAAGGTAGTTATTGGCTCAGTTGGTCAGCCAACTCCATGGTCGAGTAGGAACCTGAACCTGGGTCTCTATGATCCCGGTCTAAAATGTTAACCATTAAACATAACTGGGTCTAAGCCCTTCTACCTCCATGACAAGCCCCAACTGGTTCCGTTATTGGCGGTGGTATTGTTATTCCTCTACACACACAAGACCTGTGTAAATATTGTTGTATCTCATTTGACCCTCACTGTTCCTTATTCACTTTGCTGAAGGTGCCTGTTTTCTTTAACATACTTCCCATGGCCTGACCAGGTCCCATGCTCACAATTAGCTCTTTCTCACAAACAGGCTGCAAATGGAAAGTTGTTAGAACATACCCAGGACCTCTTTGACTGAGTTTGCTGCTTTGACCCAGCGCCACATCCATGTTCCTCAATTTCTTAGTTGGGAATTTCTTTTTTAGGGAAAATCAATACATTTGCAAGCATGGACTGGAGACCTGAAAAAGAAAAGATTAAGCTATTCAAGCTACTAAACCATTGCATCAGAGGACACCTAAGAACTGGTGTGTATGTGATCCAATGCATACATAAAAACATGTTAGGAAAATCATGAATGCAGTTTGTAAGAATTGGCCAGATATATGTCATATTGTCATATGGCCAACAGGGGGAAAAAACTGAGGCCTTTACCTGATTTCTGCCACTCAGGGAGAGATTCATCAGGACATCAGTTAATGACCACTAAGCCATCCAATCCAATTGACCTTCTAAGATTCATCACCTAGGCGAGTTACAATTACATAATAGGTTGCTTGGCAACCAACCATTGCCATTCTATCCTCCAATGTATCTCATGCTTAGGGGCAGTTTCCCCAGGTGCCCCTAATCCCAGCACCAACCTGTCCCTGCAAATACCTTTTTCACTGGCTCCCAGGGACATTGCCTCCATCTCATGTCCAGCAGTCCATGAGTGAGACAGCCTTGAGTCATTTTCATAGCCCCAGTGCAGAACTTTCCCCTTTTAGCCCAGCACTCTCCAAGGCAGGCTTGAAGTACACAAAATCTGTTAAGCTTTCTCACCTCTTACCTTGGAGGGAAATTTGGGAACTGCAGAGATAAGCAGTTTCATACTGAAGAGAACCCCAGTGACACACCAAAGGACTCCTGGAATTTCTGCCCCCCCCCCTTCAAAACCCTGGCCTCATATGCATTTACACCATCAGATCACTCCTTAGGAGGGAAGAAACAGATTGGCAGTGCCCCTCATAGTACTCTGGATTCCCCCCATAGCAAAACCAAATCCAGTGAGGAAAGGGGTGGCAGGGTGCTCACTAAAATGCCCATTCTCTTTTCTCAATGGCCAGGGGTAGCCTTCCCATCCTCATCCTCCCAGCCCAAGTGCCCAGCAGCAAGGCTATTAATGCAATGACTCACAACTGCTCCAGAGGATAAGAGCAACAAAACCAGTGGGTGTTTGGAGGTGTCCAAAAATAGCCTTTCAGCAGTTATTCTATTGTTGGGGAAATCAATGGCTCTGAAGCACTGGCTCAGCTGCTGCTTCTTCGAAGTCATAGTAAAACCTGCCCCCCTTTAAATCAACAAAAAGCTGCAGCTTTTCTTTGACATGAAGAATAAGACTTTGTTGCTGTAGACCTGTGACAGCAACAGAACAGGCAGGTTTAAAGATGATTATCGGTCATCTTGTAGCCACATCTAATCATTCAGGTAAAAGGCTGAGGCCTTTCTCATAGCAATTTCCCAAATCCAATACAGGCGAATATGTGTAGCTCAGGGTTGAACTGAGGAGTCCTTGGGGTTCTCTGCCCCTTTGTTTTTTTTTTTTAAAAAGGTG